AAAAAAAAAAAAAAAAGGGATGATGGAGTAAAGACCGGGAAGACACAACTAAATACGTTTTTAATAGTTTGGAGGAAAAGTTTGAATGAAAAGTTTGTATTAGATTTGAATTAAGGTTACATCGTAGCTGCGGGCTTCCTGGCCCCGGGGATTAAGTGGGAAGAATTCTAATGCGTCGAACGGGTCGGTGGCGCGTCGCCGCATTCAGACGACGACGACGACACGTGAAAGAACAGAGCTGCTCATTAATGCTTTAGAACCTGCTTGCATTTCAATTTCTTGCACGGCGGCGCCGGAGCGGTTCTTAATTGGTTGACGGGTGTCTGTCAAAGTGGGAACAGGAAGCCTGGTTCCAATTAAAAGGTGAAATTACTGCCGGGGCTGTGGTTCCAGGCGGTTCCTCCTCTCCGCCTCTGGTCTGAGCCCGTGGCAACTGTGATAAAAGTCCCTCTGCAGGCATCGATTAAACCCGTAAAAACTCATTTCTTTTTATCAAAATTACATACTTATCTTTTTTTTCTATTAAACTGATCCCTGCATTCCCTGCCTTCTGCTTGCTGCAGCTTGAGCACACCAGCTCACCTGCAATCAATGTAGAATTCCTCAATTGCAAGTACAGTCGTGACTCGATAATCCGACCCTTAACAATCTTGCTATCCGACAGGTTTTTATGAAAAACGAATGGAACCCATAAAAACATCCTTGACATACCGACAGCCTTGGATTCCAACTCCGACATATTTTATGTCACCAATCAGGATGACGGCGTATTATCTGACTGAACAATCCCACAGATTGGCTACGTTCACACTGCAGGACTTAATGCTCAGTTTGGATTTTTTTGTGAAATCCGATTTTTTTGTGAGTTTGTTCACATTTCCAGTTAAATGCGACTTGCATGTGATCTGCTGTGTGAACAAAAGCATCCCGCATGAGAAGAAGAGGACACGACGACGTCACACACAGCGAGCATGCTCAGTGTTTGCAGAGGTAAACATGGATGCTAACAGTGGAGCGTATCTGCCACTCCCCCGCCACCACCGATGGAGGAAACAGAACTGTGACTGCTAACTCAGGGGTGTCCAATCCTGGTCCTTGAGGGCCACAATCCTGCATGTTTTAGATGCTTCCTTCTTCCAACACACCTGATTCAAATGATCAGGATCATTATCAGGTTTCTGCAGAGCTTGATGATGAGCTGATCATTTGAATCAGGTGTGTTGGAAGAAGGAAACATCTAAAACATGCAGGATTGTGGCCCTCCAGGACCTGCGCTAACTAAACTAGCATCAGCAGCCAAGTAGTACCTGTGTGTTCCGGCCACTTCCACCCCATCAGAGCGCTCCCCCGGGGTGGAGGTGGTCCCCCGACCACGCCGAATATTCTGATATTCATTGGATCTGTGTTGGTCAGACTGTCACGAATAGACCAGATACAGGTTGCATAGGAGGAAAAGAAATCGGGTTTGGGTCACTTTAGCTGCTGTCTGAACGTATTTACCTTTGATGTCAACCGACGGCCCGTTCACAAGCGCACTGGTCAGTTATAAATCCAGCGATGCGTAGTGTTCTGACAATACACTAGCTATTATAACAACTATAAACAACAAATGACCCTTCAAGCATCAAGCCCTCTTTGTATCTCGACAGCCTTGCTATCCGACATAAAAGAAGGTTTTACATTTAGTGTCGGATTATCGAGTCACGTCTGTATTTATTTTGCAGTAATTCATCCATACGTGTTTGAACCAGAAAACGATTCTGAAGAAAGTCTCTGTTCAGGTTTTCAGGACAAAACACAAATTATATGAGAGAAAAGTGCACCATTGGAATTCTCCCAGCGGTCTAGACCTATAACAAGACACCTACGGGATGGTTCAGGGCCGCCTGAGCAGCTCCGTCTACAGGTTTTATCAAAAAGGAAAGTTTTAATCTTTCAAGTATAGATGGTATGTCTGACTCCTGAACCCCAACTAGGAGCTGATTCCACAGCAGAGGAGCCTGATAGCTACCCCGTTTAGAACCTCTACGAATTACAAGAAAGCAAAGAGAGCAAAATGGTCGGTTGGGATGATGTGGTGCTGTAAAGTTATTTAGATAAGACGGAGCTTCAGGGGTTTTGTATGTGAGCAGAAGGAGCCTGTCAAACCTGCAAGATGTGGAGATGCTCAGCTGTGGTACCGTTTTGGCTCACGATGTGTCGTCTAGCACATTAAAAACACACCGTATAGACACGCTAATGAGGTGATAAAAACCTATTCTGAGGGGGAGTTTTAGTGTTAAAAGGCTTTGAAACAAAACTCTTAAAACACTGTAAAGAATCGTGAACATCTGGCTGCAAAGGTGTCAGTACAAAAATACAGACAACACGATAACGTTCAAACACTCTAAAACAGTGGAAATAAATATTTTAGTGGATTTAAATGCAGTCAAAAATTGCAATGTGTTACCATATGATTATAAAGGAACAAATTACTATTTGTAAAACCAGAGATTTTTACTCTATCATGTTTCATTTTGAACATTTTTTATTTGTTTGTTTGTTTATTTCTTTTAGTTGGTATATATTTATGTATTTGCTTATTTATTTTTGAATTTTATTGCTTGATATTATCATTTTACATGTAATTTAAAACAAGCAAAATGATGATTTACCATTTCATTTATTTAAAAAAAAGTGTTTATTATGTTTATTTTTTTCATATAACAGCATAAATCTGTAAGTTAATGTTGTTTTTGCTGATTTAACTACAGCAAAAAATAATAATTTAATTTTAAAAAGTGTAAATTTTACAGTCAAATGCCGTAAAAGAATAAATTAAAAAATAAATTACTAAATAAAATAAAAAGAAGTGGACACTTTTTACAGTTTTGCCCTGTGTTTTTATGTTTAGCGTATAAATTAATATTTATTTTTTTAAATGTGATTTTGTTAATTATTATCTGTAATTTAACAGAACAGGGAAATCGTAAATTGTTGTTCAATATATATATAGTTTTTTGTTTTTTGTAACAGGTTCTACTTTCAACACAACAACTTGTAATAAAAGTTCAAGTCTTTGGAGCGGCATATCTGCCAATAATATGTGCTGATTCAGTGTCGGACTTTTAGATCTGCAGAGTGTCGTAATGCAAAAGCACCAATGTGATAAAAACGAGTGGGAAATAAAAGTGCCAGTGCTGTGATGGTGTCGAATCTGAAGCTTCAAATAGCGTCTCTGTTGAAGTGTTTGTACACGATTGGCAGCCGGACCTCTGTACGTACAAGCTCCGAGATCACTGAATAAATTCAAACAAAAAGAAACAACAAGAGCAGAGACACATTAGATTGCCATTATGCTCCAAAGAAAAAAGAAAAAAAAAAAAACTACACTCAGGAAAACAACTTTGCACCCACTCAGAAACCAACCATGAAGTAATGTTTCCTCAGGCAGGCATTTTCAACTTAACAGCCAATTTGTATTGCTTCCTCTGGTTTCCAAACATCCCATTATCCCGATTTTTTAACAATAATGGAGTGGCAGTTAGTTGGCTTTTCACACCCGATGAAAGGCGACAACATTACGGTTTAACCCCGGAACCGTTAGAAGTTCTGCTCCCCTCGACCGCCCACGCACTCCGCCACATCCGTCCTAAAAAAAAAACAAAAAACGTCGCAGCAGCACAACAACGCTCCAAATCTGAAGATAAGAACTTCCCGTGGTGACAGGGGGCTGTTAGGTCACTTTCCCTCCCGACGCCAGCTCTCCCCTCGCTCCTCGCTGTGTCTTTTACCAATTAAGGCTGGCGATCTGACAAAAGTGGCAGCGAGGTCGCCCCGAGAGCAACCCTGTCGCTGTTACACGCCAGCGACCGGCACGAACCGAACGCTCTCGGATCCAAAGCGGCGACACTTTCCCTCCGGGCGGCGTACACAGGTAGAGGAGGAAATGCAACACGGCCGTTCGGCTGTAGGTCAGCGGCACCGTGACTCCGGCCAATTATGATAAACAAATCACGAGACACGCTTCGGATAGCCGGTCGGCTCCTTGTCCAATTAGGAGTGAGTGATTCTGCGGCGGCTAATTAAACGTCACAGGTGCTGTGTTTTGGAAAGTGATTTTCCTTCTGAACGTCCGTCAGGTGATCCAGACTGTCACGGCGGTGGATAAGGACGACTTCGCCAACGGACAGCGGTTCTCCTTCGCCCTGCCCAGCCAGCTGCCGGTTAATCCCAACTTCACCCTGAAGGACAATGAAGGTAATTAAAGCGATCGATATGTTTGTTTGCATTTCTTATGAGTTTCGCGCTCTGCCTACGAGACGTATCCTTCACTGCCCACATCCCGAGATCCAATAAGCCGCGCTTTATTTCCTCATACCTCGGAGGCGCAATAAAAATACGCTCTCCGTCAGCTGGGGGACGGTAAACATCTGAAGACTCAAATGCCACCTGGGATCTACTCTGAGTCAGGTCTGCATGAAACATAAGAGTCATAGAGGTTTGGCATGTTTGCGCATTGTGTTGTCAAATGGATTACCCGCTCAGGCGCTCACTCTTTCCACCTCCCCGTGTGCATTATTTTGTGCCGGCCCAGGGCCAACAGTGGGTGTTGCCATGGCAACCGTTGCAGTCTCAGGTGAATACCTAGCCCTAGGTTGGTCTGCAATCACAGGGCTTTAAAAAGCTCTCAGCCAGGAGAACTCGCGGTTGCCCACTGAGAAGAGGAGTTCACAGCACACTCCAGATGAATCCCCGAGCCGGGGAGAGAGAGAGAGAGCGGCAAAAAAAAAAAAAAAAAACAAGAGGAGGGAGGCGGCACGAGAGGGATGATAATAAGATATAAGTCACTTTGGTTGTTGGTCCAGTTGCTTCCCACCTTTCTGTACTTTTAGCACATTTAGGTGCAAGTTTGGCAGCAGTCGAGTAAGTGGCGCTCGTGAGGGGTGGATGAGTCGAACAAGGATCACAACCGTAGCAAAGATACTGATCTTCCCAAGGACAGGAAATAGTAAAAATAAATATTAAAAAAATAAAGTGCATATATGGCAGAGGTCTTCCACTTTTTTTGCACCACAGACCGGTTTTAAGCAAGACAGACCGGTCACATAACAAAAAATAATTGTTTTTTTCAATTAAAAAGTTTAATAAATAAATAAAATTACTTTTTATTGCTAAATATGTGTTTTACCTTATATTCTGTCTCAGTATCGAGTCTCTGCTGAGACGTTTGTTTGTTTATTCGCGGTTAGACTGACGGCTTAGCATAAAAACTGAAAGTCAAGTGCGGGAAACGAGCACAGACGAAATGACGGGAAGACGAGCTAGTCATTTTTTCAAAATAAAACACCTCGCAAACTCCGCTGGAAATAAAACTAAACCAATAAAATGTTTTTATTCTTTCTGTGCGGCCCGGTGGTTGGGGACCATTGATATATGTAATAAATAGATCATTTGGCACTAGTTTGCTTTAGTTTTACAGATTATAACTTGAATCTCTAAAAAGTGGAAGAATGATGGTTGACAATAGGAGTGAGAACACAATATTTAGTTTTTAATCATTCTACTTTAATTATATTGATCTATATTCATCTGTTGCGGGCTGCAAGGTGGCGCAGGTGGTTAGCACTGCTGCCTCACAGCTAGAAGGTTCGCATCCCAGTGGGGCATCGGGATCTTTCTGTGTGGAGTCTCCATGTTCTCCCCGTGCAGCGTGGGTTCTCTCCGGGTTCTCCGGCTTCCTGCCACACAGTCCAAAAACATGTTGAGGTTAATTGGTGATTCTAAATTGTCCGTAGGTGTGAATGTGAGTGTGCTTGGTTGTCTGTCTCTAAGNTTGTTGGTCCAGTTGCTTCCCACCTTTCTGTACTTTTAGCACATTTAGGTGCAAGTTTGGCAGCAATCGAGTAAGTGGCGCTCGTGAGGGGTGGAGGAGTCGAACAAGGATCACAACGGTAGCAAAGATACTGATCTCCCCGAGGACAGGAAATGTCCAAAATAAATATAAATAAATAAATAAAGAAATAAATAAAATATCAAGTGCATATATGGCAGCAGTCTTCCACCTTTTTTGCACCACGGACCGGTTTTAAGCAAGACAGACCGGTCACATAACAAAAAATAATTGTTTATTTTTCTATTAAAAAGTTTCATAAATAAATAAAATTACTTTTTATTGCTAAATATGTGTTTTACTTTTTCTTCTGTCTCAGTATCGAGTCTCTCCTGAGATGTTTGCTTGTTTATTCGCGGTTAGACTGACGGTTTAGCATAAAAACTGAAAGTCAAGTGAAGGAAACAAGCACAGATGGAAGTAACGGGAAGACGAGCTAGTCATTTTTCAAAATAAAACACCCTGCAGACTCCGCTGGAAATAAAACTAAACCAATTAAATGTTTTTATTCTTTCTGTGAGGCCCGGTACCAAATGACCTACAGCCCAGTACTGGTCTGCGGTGGTTGGGGACCGCTGATATATGTAATAAATAGATTTGGCACTAGTTTGAATCTCTAAAAAGTGGAAGAATGATGGTTGTTAATAGGAGCGAGAACTCAATATTTAGTTATTAATCATTCTGCTTTAATAATATTCTAATCTATATTTATATCTGATTTTTTAAAATATACATATACACACACTGTTGCCCATAAAGTTGGAATAAGATATTTTTTTACTGCTTCTCATGAAATGACTGTGACAACACGATGAAGTGTACATGAAGAGTTCATTTGCAAAAACTGATAACTCCATCTTCATAAACCTTCAGAAAACCTACTTTTCCATCGTCTACCTGAGACAATATCGATCTAAGTTACCTCTATTTTTGTCATTTCTACTGAGTCAGATCCACTCAACTTCACTTTGATATCATCTCAAGCAAACAACAACAAAAATACATTTTCTGCAAATCTACAATAATGGAGTTATCTGTTATTGCAAATGAACCCCTCATATTTTCTCAAAACTTTATTGATATCACAATACATACACAGCACATATCACAGTAGAAATTAAACCACAATGAACTTTTGCATTCAGGATTAAATTAAATTGGGGGTATTGAACAAACAGATTAAGGGTTTTGTTTCAATTTTTCAACCTTGGTCCCTTTAACATGAAACACACATTCAGTGCACAAGAATGTCCAATATTACTCTTTCAAATGTCGCTAACATTGAGTCTGGCCGCCCCTTGACACAGATGATGGCATCCTGTCCACAAGCTTGTTGATGGTGTCAACGTTCAGGACGTCACACTCTCACACAAAAATCATTCCAACTTTATGGGCGATGGAAAGATTCAGAGCTTTTTTTCATCCCAACTGTTTCAGGTCTGCCTTGGCGTCTGTTAACGGGTGTGAATATGTCACATATGTTGTGAAAAAAACACTTGGTAAATATATTTCGTGTCTTTGTCACTTTGTCGCTCTGGGATATTATCGAGAAGTTCTCCAGGGTACACCTCCACAGCTACACATCTCTTGCTGATTTGCCTTATGCCGTGTTAAGAGGGGAAAAAAAACGGCTTTAATGAAGCTTTCATTTGCTTTCTGTATATAATGATGCCTGCCAGGTACTGTGGGGCATCGCCGTGAGCAGTAAAGTTTAGATGATGTCCTTCATAGCAACAAATACTAACGTGTAGATATACATTGAGGATAATCATAATATACTGATGTTTTGACCTTCAGGTCCAGAAGTATTTGGGTGGAGAGTATTGTCATCGTTTTCCTCTCTGTGCTGCAACACAATGGATCCGAAACGAGGCAATCACGCTTTAATTCAAGGGGTTTAACGAAAGCGTTGCACCAACAATTTAGGAATTAAACCTTTTTTTTTTTTTTTACATAGTCCTTCCAATTTGACAGACTCAAAAATAATCCCTATATTTATGACTATGTTGGTTTGTCCAATTACTTTTAATACTTGCATGCAAATCCTTCGACTGTCTGAATTCTAAAACCCACGGACGGCAAGTGCTGAGTTTCCTCCTTTTCCGACGCTCTGCCAGGTCTGCTCCGAGTCGTTCTGCTTCCACTTTTGTCTTCGGTAAGTGAAAAGCACTTGGCTGGAGTTTTAGGTGGCTGACCGCTGAGGAGCGTTGCATTCCTTTGCCTTGAGAAGCTCTTGATTACCTTTTTGTGGGACATCGTTGGGTCGTTATCCATCTGTGCTGTGAAGTGCTTCTGCAGCGTTGGACTGAGCAGAAAGTGTAGATCCAGACACTTCAGAATTGGTCCAGCTACTTCAAACGGCAGTCGCGTCATCAATAAACACCAGTGACCCAGTTCCATTGGCAGCTGTGCTTGGCCACGCTGCAACGCTGCCTCCACCATGTTTGACAGATGATGTGGTCTGCTTCGGAGTCCTTTCTTCCCTTCTCCATCCTCGTCTCCTCCCGTCATTCTGGTTTAAGCTTGATTTTAAAGAGTCTTGCACAGAACTGGACTTTGTTGGATGTTTTCTATCCTTATCTCTCTTCCTGAGTGTTACCAGCGGTTTGTCTCGGGGTAAACTCTCTGTATTGACATCCACAAAGGTATCTCTTCGTTGAGAATGTTCTTGTTTTGTTTAAATGTTGTCAAGAAAAGAAATCCTCCACTTTAGCTTCGTCTATGGTCTTACCAGTTTGTTTGGTGTTGCTAACCTTCCTATCCTTCTTTTTAAGAATGTACCAAACAGTTGTTTTTGGCCACTCCTAAGCTTCTTGCATCTCTCTGATAGGCTTGTTTTATTAAGTCAGTCTTCTCTTCAGGGTTAGGGTTAGGGTTGGGGCCAGGATTTTAGAGAGAACGAATACGGCTAACGTCTTCGGTCGCTAGCAGTATTAGCAGCGACGACGACTATACAGAAACTGCATCGGTGCTTGTTGTTCAATATTTTCCCGCTACATACCCTCGAAAACAACATAGCGGCCCAATTTGGAGCGTAGTTTTTTCAGGCAGCAGCGTAACGGGTCGTTACTACCCTGCTCTTATATTGACCCCTTGTTGGACCCTGTATTGAGCGAACACCCTGAATCCTTCCGTCCTTTGTCGTCAAATATCAAGAAATCAGGCAACACCTGTCCATTAAACTACACATCAGTCATCTGTCCAATTATAATTCAGCTTTTAAAAGTTAGGAGTCTGTAAAAAAAAATGGCTGTACTCCCTCAATGTCTAATGTAATAGTTTTGCTGCACTCAGATCACATCTCGATTGCTTCGTTTCTAATCCACTGTGGTGGCGTACGGAAGCAAAAGTATGAAAATTGTGTCAC